CCCATAGGTCAATGAAGTGCTGTATGCAAGCTGGGCACCTGATTGTGGACAGAGAGGCCAAAATCACCGTTCAGACAATGGGTAGATTGGCCAGATAAGTTTAGGCACAAGGTATGCTTCCTTTCTAAAGTGGATCACTATTTCAACGATGGAACGCGAGAGTACACACATTTTGTGAATTTTATTCAACCTGAGTTACGTCAAGTCGCTGATGGCCAGCGTGCACTTATTTTTCGATTATTTGGGAAGTCCGGGCTTAAAGCATCCGAGCCAGCGAGACGATACAACAGCATAACCTCGGGAATGCGGCCTATAAACGGACGGTACGTGTTAAAGCTAAAGTAGAAGTTCGAAAACACTAGTAATGTGTGCCACGACCGCATTACTCGGCAGACTCGCACCACAACGGATGAGGGTTCGGCTAGTGCTGTTATCCGTGAAGTGACCGAAGCGCGGATCTCAGCATCCGTACAATTGCTTGAAATTGTGACACCAGGCGTTACGCAGTTTAACGACTTTTGCAAGAAAGAAAATTCCGTTGGTATGGTGCACCTCAAATGCCAGTGTTAGACCCATGTGATCGGGAGAAACGGCTTGCATTTTGCAGCTTGTTCTTGAATCAGGTGGATATTCACTCCATTATTTTCACAGATGAGGCGATATTTCAGTTGCACAGAATACAAAAGCAGGATGTTGGAGCGACAGCAAATCCACGACGCTGCCGAGCTTCCCGTATGCAACATAGTCCCAAGCTAATCGTTTTGGGCTGGACTAACTGGTCGAATGATTGTCTGACCATGTTTTTGCTAGTAATATGAACGGTAAGTTGCTGCCTTAACATACTAATGCCATACCTTTCCTAGCATCATCGTACAAAAAATGCTACGGAACTGCGTACTTACACAGCTGCAGGCTGAGGGTGTTTCCAGCACCATTGATGGAAACATGATGGCGCACTTACAGATTATACACAAACGGTTCGGGATGATCTGAACGAGATTTTCAGTCACCGGTGGATCGGTCGCGGAGGTCCAGTGGAGTGGCTCGCCTGATCACCAGGTTTGAACCCCTAAGATTACTACCTATAGGGTTATTTGAAACGAAGAGTATACAAGACATCGCCCACTTCACTGGAACAGCTGAAGGACTGTGTTGTCGCCGAATGTCGCGCCAACAATACAGAAACTTTGCAAAAGGTTCCAGCCAATTGCCACCGACAATTTCTGCACTTCAAGCAGAACGCCGGCGGGCACGCTGACCATCTCCTTCGTTGACGGATATATAATTTTTTTATCTTGTTCACGTTAATATACTTAAGCACGGTTAGTACTGATTTCTGGACTAACATAGGGGCGTCGGGCCAGAATGAATGCAAGGAGCAAAGCTGATTCGACAGCGCTTAGCCTGACCACTTCTATGCAACGTGGTTCATGATGCCAACACTTGCCCTTCATGACTGTACTTAAAGAATACGGGTGGATGTGAACGATATAGCAATTTGAAAATAGCCTACACGGTTTCGCATTTTTATCGTGTTCATCAGCGTATAGACTGGCGTGAGGTGAGTGTTTCTAAGCAATAACATGCCGGTCACTGAAAAGGAAGAGAAAGATGGCCCCCGGCGTTGTGACGGAGAATTCAGCGAGCATTGGATTGTTCACCCTATAATAGGGAACGTGAGCTGGGTTTTGACCATCGTAAGACAGGTTAGTTTTACCTTAATAATGAGTACAATGACTGGGTGAAGTACAAACTGGCCGTTTGTATGGTAATCCTGATTAGTACGACAGGAACCGCAGGTTCAGACATCTGATCTGTGTGCCTGATCGAAAAGCAAATGGCACCAAGCTACCATCTGAGGGATAAGGACCGAACGCGTCTGTCTGAATCCCGTCCAGATTTGTAACGGTGCACTCTGTGTCTATGATGTGGCAAGGCAAGCTTACCTATTCCTGCCAGCACTTGGACTGGGTTATGTGCTCCGCTATGGCTGGTAGGTCTGGTGTGATGCTACAGCGATGTGACCAAAACTGTACTCCGGAAATCGAGGTATGGTGGTCGACACGATATCCATGTGTGGATTGAGCGTGAAAACAATAAATAGTTGGTAGCCGATTTACTTTCGTGTCAGCCAAACAGAAGTGTTTCAGCAGCTATAACACTGATAGACATTGAGTCCTATCCCTGCATAGCAGAATGGTTTTTGAGCCAGACTCTCATTCATAATTTACCTCTTCAAGCTCCGTTGGACAGTATGATTGATATATTCTCAACCAGGGGAGACACGGCCCAGCTAAGCTGATCCGATCATAAGTACAAAGGAAATGCAGCATGGTTTTAAGCGATTGCTGTACAAAAACAGTTGGGGCTCCAATTCTATTGATTCTTGTTTTCATTTCAAAATTCGTCGGAATCCACGACAATTGCAAAACTTGCATACACTTTTAAGCATATGGTTGAGAGAGGAAAAGTAACTAAGTTTTAGGAGGTGAGTGACAATATGTATATGGAAAAAGTCATTTAAAAAAGCATAACATTGGTATATGACAATAATTTATAAATAGTGAAAGTGTGTGAGCAGACACGAAAACATGACAGATGGTAAAACTGTGAACTCCATCCATCATGAAACTAATCAAATAGAACTAACGACTTGCCTCATACAACAGGTAAGATGTGATAACACATGGCAACGGGAATTGCGTACACACAATTGGTGGGTTTGTTGCCTCCATCAACATTTCACCCTTTCAGTGGGTCCATGTCTTGCAGTTATTGATGCCTTTCACGTAGCTGTGTAATAGGATGCATTACATGAAGTCTAAGTAAAAAGTATGCTTATCCGACCCACCAATGTGTGCATGTTTTTCGAATGCCATCAGCTGGTATTCTGGCTAAGTAAGAGCACAGTGAGAAGCTGTTTAAATGAAGAAAAAATCAGCCATAAATCACATCTATCCAACTCATCGATGTGTCCATGTTTTCATAGGTCACCAACGGGCCATCAGTCTCGGTAACACGAAGAATATAACAGTATAGACTAACATAAAATCAGTGATAGATCTCATTTATCCAACCTATGGATGTACCAACCTCCTCATAGGCCACCGGTGAGTTATCGATTTGAGCAATTCCGAAGAATGAGATAAAGTAGGAATGTGAGACAAATCTAAGCTATCTAGCAAGAAAAATTCATGATAAGGGAACACTGTATTTCACGTTTTGTCGGCAAGCCCTTCCTGTCATATCTATCTATATCTTTATATAGCGAATTCCGCAAGTGCTTAGATGTTATCAGGCCCGTTCTCCTGCACCCATCCGTCTGTGCAACACAGGAAACAGTTCTTTGAATTTAGTAACAGTTAAGTACTCTTTTAGTTGCAGCTTAAATGTTCGAGGCGAAGATGTACTTCTGATGGTCTTAGGCAATCTATTCCATAGGGTGGGATATTTGTGTAAAGCTGTTGTACTGCGGATGTGTGCGCCAACGAGCTATTTTTATGACATAGTTTTTGTTTCTTAGGTCATACGGTGAAGATTATTGGAACACCGGCTGATGGTAACTAGCATATATCAGTCGATGGACAATTTTGTATAAAAGACATAAATTCAGCCTTAATCTTCGAAGTCATGGCGGTTCGATTTTTAACAAATCTACCTTTATAAGTGAGCTTAAAGGTGCAGCCCACAATTCTTTTGATAATCGACCTTTGTGTAGCTTCGATTGCCCTCGTGTCTAATTTTCTAATGCTACTAAAACTGGTGGCACATTATTCTAATAATGGTCTGGCGTACAGTTTGAATGACAGGAGCTTAACATCGCTTGTTATAAAAAAGCGGCCTATCATTCCAATAGTCTGTCTTATTTTAGCCACCGTATACTCAACTTGTTCTTTGAAATTCAACGAACCTGAGTAACGGAGACCGAAGTCACATATCGATTCGCTTAAAGGGAGTGGGATTCCATACAGAAACAAGCATTAAGATGGAACCAAACATCTATAGTTCATAATGCTGCGTTTAGATGTTGACAATTTCATGGAAGATCCGACACACCAGTCTTCCAGGGAAACTACGTCACTTTGAATCGCAGATATAAAAAACGGAGGTTGAGTATCAGTGGCATACAAAAGTTTTGTATCATCTGAGAACAAATAAGGTCTACTATGCCATATGGCAGGGAAAAGATCATTTGCATTAGGTTTATCAGATGTATTCATTAAGTATGATGTTGATGTCAGTTTATCCAGTACCTGACTGATCTCTGAGCTATTCGGTCAATACGGTTACCCCATTTCAGGTATCAGAAGTGGGGCAGTGCTCTTAGTTTTAGCAGCCTTCGTTAACCGGTTCGTGCTATTTTCCATGCCATCTCCTACAAACAAATTTGCATTTTAGTCAGGTGAATCGTAGAAAAATTTGAACACCGAGCTTAGCAGTACTCGACTTACGGCTTGCTACCTGATGCTTGTTATCAGTTGTTTTCGGAGACACAGCTAGTTTTCTCGCCATCATGAAGAAAGCAATCAGATGACAAAGCTAACCTCAAAAAATTTGGTAAGCAGGAACACGATAAGTGGTTGCATGGGTGCATGTATTGCATGTATGCTCACTCACATAAATGTTCCAACAATGTGGCATCATTAGTAGTACGGTAGTACAGTGTCACATGTAACGTCCACGAGTTGACTCACGCTAGTTTTCAAACAGTATATGGTCAAGGACAACACGACATTCAATGTTAAATGTAAATTGTGTCACTACGTCTCCTGTTCCATACGCCTTCACCAAACAACTTCGGGTACAGTCAGTGGGTCGCGAGTCGGGTCCGGCCCGCGGGCCGTAGTTTGTTGACCCAGGGTCGGTACAAAGAAAGGCCATGTATTACGCATCCGTACATTAACTCTCAACAAACTTGTATTGTTCGTCAGGGGATTCGATCTCCTATGACATACACCTACTATCGTATCACCTACCTCTCTCTCCATCCCCACCCACAGCGCTCGAACACGAATGCATCGAATTTTTCGCGAGTGTTTTACTGCAATTGGAATAGCCTTCACAGCAATCTGCCTGTTAGTTGTCGAACTCTGCCGGATGTTGGCCTATACGGTGCTACGACCACTGCTCACCTTGGTCCGCTTCGTGGCCCACCTGCTACTCAATTTGCTCTTCGACTTGCTATACATTTGCACCCTGCAATGTCGTCGTGTGTGCATGCCACTCGTCGACCTATTTGCCATGTGCTCACACGAAGTCATTATCCCATCGATTAGACAATGTCGACCAATTCGATGCATCCACAAGATGCCACATCCGGAGCAGTGCCAGTCGGGTGTTTGACATTTTCAGCTGCTTTCCAATCCACACCTTCAGGTTGCATCCGTCGTTGTCTGGTAACTTTGTCTCCCTTCCTGCTTTATGTGACATTGCCTTGTGTGTAACCTATCAATCAGTCCCGGTTAGTTTTGTGGAACTAAATGGTTTTGTATACTTTGGCAGCCTTCAACTTTCCTCACACAAAAAACGGGTGTCATCGGGCTGGAGGCTGCACGGTCAAGGTGTAATTGTAAAAAAGGAAGCTGATAAGACGAATCACAGCAGCACCTGTCACTGCAAGTATACCGCATTCAACCACCTTGGATTTGATGCTAATCAACTGGCATAATTCATTCCGGATCATCGGGTGATACAAATCGGTTGGATGACTGGTCGCTACTGAACCATGTTGGGTGACGCTCTGCGATGCGTTCATATAAAATTACTGTGTTTCGGTCGTTACCTTCTTACACAAGTCGATTAATAACTAATGTGTACAAGGGGGATGCAATCAACCGACTATGTAGTCTTCAGCTGGAGTGGCAGCAAAACCGGTTGCGTAGAAGAAAGTCCGTAGCTCTATCACAAGTAGTGCTGCTGCAACATCTTGCCATTTGCTAACACACTCGTCTGTGTTATCCTCTTTGATAAGCAAACTGTGATGTGGGCCAGTTTATTTACTTCCACGGGTCCTTTAGCTCTCCTTCGGTCAGTCTGCATGTTCCTATCAATAACTGATTGCTGTCGCGAAGGCCTTACGTTTAACCTGCGGTCTGATCGGGTGCATACCCCGCACATCAACTGTAGCATAGTTTCAGCGGTAGAAGCGATCACGATTCGCCTTCACAATTCCCACCGTACATGCGTCAATAACTCATAAACGACTCATTCTTTATCATGGTAGGTAATTTGTGAGGACCCCACCGATCAAAGCCTATTGTGTTGGAATAGTTTTGTTCAAAGGTTTGTAAGATGTAGCGAGAGATCAAAAGTGTCAGAGGCAAGCACTATCGTACAAGATGGTTCTCAGTGGTTTGTTATCAAGCCAAAACAACAAAACCTGTGAGGGTTTGAACGGATATATGAGAAATAAAGCAGGATTCTTCATAAGCTCTTGCTTATAATGTACCCAGGAAATAGTTCTTGACTATAGCAAAGTAACAACACCACAACAACATAAACTTTGCGTAAGCGTTGAAAATACACTCAGAATAAACCTTTAGATTACAATCCACATGGGCTGATAGAAAATTGGCTTGCGAAATATAATGTTCCACGATTTGGATGTGCTGTGACATCCCCGGGGTAGGTTAGATGGATATCAGATCTCACGGACACACCTGTCCATCGAGGACACCAGCGATTAGGTTAGACAATAAATACTAGAGGTGGCCACTGTATCTCATCGCACATTCTAGCTGACACTAACAATTACGTGAAAAATATTGTATTCAAAAAATCGCTTCGGAATCAGAATATATATATATATATATGTATATGTATATATAGAGTTGTATATATAGTTGGCGGCATCCGGTTTCGGATTTGCCTGTCACTGTGGCAAGCCACAGGACGCCTGCGTCTACAGAGCGACAATGGATGGCTTGCGCTGCACCACCCACAGCTCCATCCACACACCCGAAGTGTAAACCCGAAGGAATAAGACCGGGAGGAATGCGGATGGGAGCCACGTTTCTTCAACGGAGCCGGCCCACACTCCATCAACAAACAGAACGGAAGCATTCTGGCCTAATTGGGAATTCATACACACCAGACGTACACGAGGCGGTGGCTGGACCGTAGCCCGTTCCACACAGGTTGCATGGAACCACTCTTTGAGCCTAGCACCATCACGAGGACGGTGCACTCCGTCCCCTCCAGCGACGACCAACTGTCTCCTGGAGCCAGTATAGACGAGGTAGTGGGTAATAGACAGGTAGGCACCTTGTCAACATTCACATCAGGCGCATCCACACATGGGAGCTCAAGCAACATCTACTTCTGAAATGCAAGATTATTCATCACGCAGGCAAACGTACCACATACGCCGCCTTATTGGCCTGGATTAGTAAATTGAATGGGTACATACAATTGTGCCTTCTCCGGCACCTGAGAATCCGCCCTTTTGAGTAGTTCACGGAATTCGCATCGATCAAATTTGCCTTGGATTCGCAACAACTGAAATCAACATGAGTTTGTCATAAACTCACCTTCTTCATGTTCTGGTAATATTATTTCGGTTTGCTCGAATGTCGTACCATTGATGATGATGATGATGATGATTATATATATATATATATATATATATATATATATATATATATATGGTAACAGCCTACGAATAGGCATGGAGCCATCAAAAACCATGGGACTTAAACTAAGGTACAGATACCGTTAAAATACACAACACAGAGGAGTCGATGGTTTTGTCAGAGGGCGAGTTACTACCCGGCTGCCCAAGCCGAAACAGGGTGTTGCCTTAGGGAACACCACCCCAAGCCTTTGGCCGAATGGCTGCCTGCAAGGCAGCGTAACGAATTCAGGGAATGGCGCCCATTGGGAGCCGGTGACTGATTGTGCATTTCATACGTTTGCAAACAAATTGCCCAGCTCTGTGTACGAATGAGCAACTGAGTTCATACGCCTTTCCTTTTTTCGTTTGCCAAACAGGGGCGAAATGCTGCCCACAATATCAGAATTAAGTTGCTGGAATACGGCGCTTTGCCAGTATGAAGCAAGAGGCGGGGACGTTATTTAGTGGCGAGTCCATCCGCCAAGTCATAGTGTTGTTAAACGGACTTATATGGATTTTCGTAGGGAGATCCCTTGTCAGGCGAAAACCTGTAGGACTGGTAAATACTTGTCTGAGGCTGGGCGCAAAATCAAGCGCGGATATCCGAAAAAACTGGAGTCGGACACGGCAGAGTTTATTCGATGGGCTACAAGAAGACGCGGACGCATGAAGCGAAGAGAACGTACCTCAGTGTCGGAGCTCACCGTGGACACAGGTGATGAGCCGGACTTGAGTAAATATGGCTGTAAGGTTGGCGTTAAAACAAAAACCAATAATGTACGATTTAGTAACAAATATGTACATAAGATAAATATCTTTTGGGTTGCTACATAGCTTCCCTTCTAGAAGGCTGAACCAGGGAACCTTCGAAATCAATAGTGGTTGTGGATCGAAGTTCGTAAAAGGTATTCGTCTGCAAAGTAGTATCATGAGTACATCAAAGTGGTATCTGTTAGTGTTCGGAACTAGATGTAGCCGACAATTAGGATCCGCTGTGCCGTTTGTGATCTATTGTTTATTGATTGCAGAGCAGGGTGAATTTCGGCAAACCGTTGGAGGGGGCTTGTCGGACTTCAGCAATACTGGCCAGCTCAGAAAAAGGTTGACAGGACCTCAACCTCCGCTTCTGCCAAACGGTGCGCTTGGGAGTGGTCTCTACCCCGCCGAACCCCGTTTAGTGCCAAAACAACCCTCGTCCCAAGGAGAAAAGGCCAACATCCCACCAAGACGTGACCCTCGTCCCGCGAAGAAGACGACCAGCGTTCGCGTCGGGATCCTCGTTGACTGCGCCGATCCTTGAAAACATTGCTCGTGTGTGCCAGTCGATCGAATGGGAGGGTTGAGGCATGTAGAGACGAAAATATAAAAATACGCGCAGAAAACGCCAGAAAGAGTGAACGAATGAGCTGTGTGTTTAGCTTTTTTGGTTTTGTATAGTTTTTAGAACTGGTTTTTCATCAGTTTCTGATTTTTTTTCAACACCTTAGTCTACCAAAAACAGGGCAAATGCATATAATATGTACAAATCTGAACGTATTTACATTGTACGTAGTCGGATCAAGGAACGAGCTTACGCACGTTCCGACCACGGCGATTGGTCGTGGGAAGCGATGGGCTAGATTCGGGAGATGTAGGGACGGCTGATGCTTGTAGACCGAGATCGTGGTCTGATTGAACTACACTAGGATGCTGAAAGCTGGTGTCGTGCTTTGTGACGTCGCACGAAGCACTACTATACGAAGTAGACGAGGTGGTTTCTTCCATAAAGGCAGGCTTCAGACGGTCGATGGGGACGATTTCGTGTTGGCCAACACGGTCAGTAGTATAGGTCTTATGCGCGCGGTGAAACCCTTTGGAAGGTCCTATGTACGGCGATTGTATAGGCTGTCGAACATTGTCTGCGCGAATAAGGACGTGTGAATACGTATACAGCTTCTCAGGCACCTAAACCGGTATCTTCTGCGATCGAGGAGCGGGTGGACGTAGCTCAAGCATTTGGTGAGCCAATCGATCGGTGTGACTTCCGTAGTCAAAAGAGAAAGTAGACGGGGCTGGTGCCACCAGCTGTTCGAAAACCGCAGCGTGCAGCCGTAGACTAGCTGCACTGGTATTGCTTCGTAATCAATTTTAACCGTGTTTCTTAAACCTAGATGGATGAGGGGAAGTGCTTCAGACCATGAAGGATCTCCGTGCGCACGTAGCGTTGCATTCAACTGGCGGTGAAATTGCTTCACCATGCAGTTAGCGGGCGGATGATACGCCGTCGCTTGGACGTGGCGGCAACCTAAGTCCTTAAGCAACCAAGTAAACTTGGACGAAAAGTGCGACCCACGATCAGTGATCACTAAGACAGTTCAGCCATACTGTGCAACCCAGAGTTCTAAAAACGCTTTTGCGAATGTTTCTGAGGAGCAATTTGGGCAGGGACGGCCGCAGGCCATCAATTGAATCGATCGACACAGGTCAATAGATATACCTAGCCTTTTGAAGGCGGCAGAGGACCTGTGAGGTCGACGTGCATGTGGTGAAAACGTGCCTCTGGCGTTGGAAACGTACCTAATGGGCTTTTCATGTGTTTGTGCACATTCGCGCGCTGACACGGAAGGCAAGCAGCTGTCCAAGTACGGACCTCCAGATTGAAATTGCGCCAAACGAACCGTGCGGTTACTAGTTTAACCGATGCACGAACGCTTTGATGAGACAAGCCGTGCAAAGTGTCGAACACGGTCTGTCGAAACTCGAGTGGGACAACTGGGTGTGGCGTGCCCAGAGAGAAGTCGCAGACTATAGTGCCGTCTGATGATGTCAGTGGAACACGTGATATGTCTAGTGAGGGCGACCTGC